CTCCATTTCTTTCAGCTCAGTCAAAGGCCAACTGTGGCTGAACTACTTGCTAGGAAGATTCTGAGGTTTAATGAATATGTGGAGGTAACAGATGCTCAAGATTATGATCGGAGAGCTGACAAACCTTGGACCAAACTGACCCCTGCTGACAAGGTACCTGGAAAGTACTCTCTTGCTCATGCACTCTTTCTCTCTTTTTTTCTCTTAATTGAAGGATATGAGATACTAACAGGAAGGGAGAACCATAAACAAAGCTTCTAGTTTTGATATAATGTTAAATTTCAAAACAGGATATAAAATGCCAAGATATAGAAACCAAAACCTTAGGCTGGACACTGTGGCTCAGGCCTGTAATCTCTGGGAGACTGAAGTGGGAAGATTGCTTGAGCTCAGGAATTCGAGACTAGCCTGAGCAATAGTGGGACCCAGTCTTTACTAAAAATAGAAAAAACGTCTCAGCACCTGTGGCTCAGTGGGTAGGGCACCAGCCACATACACTGAGGCAGGCGAGTTTGAACTTGGCCCGGGCCTGCTAAACAATGACAATTGCCACAAAAAAATAGCTGGGTGTTGTGGTGGGCACCTGTAGTCCTAGCCACTTGGGAGGTTGAGACAAGAGAATCACTTGAGCTCAAGAGTTTGAGGTTTCTGTGAGCTATGACATCACAGCACTCTACCAAAGGCAATAATAAACTCTGTCTTGAATAAATAAATAAAATAAAATAAACTAGCTAGGTGTGGTGGCAGGCATCTATAGTCCCAGCTACTCAGGAGACTGAGGCAAGAGGATCGCTTGAGCCCAAGAGTTTGAGGTTGCTGTGAGCTATGATACTTTGGCACTCTACCCAGCGTGACGGAGTGAGACTCTGTCTCAAAGAAAAAAGAAAAGAACCAAAACTTTATACTAATGACTCTTTCACCAACACTGAAAAGAACAAAATCCCTGCTATATCATAGAATAAAGGAAGTGAAAGGGAATTGTTTTTTAACAGTCATCAGAGGGAGTTTGGGTTGTATATTTTAGTAATCCTCATGTTTCACTTTTATAATGGGAAAAACATTTTTTCATGTTTTGAAAACTATAAAAGCTATACTATCTCAAATTTTTCAGTTATTTTTATTAAACACCTGATTTTAGGTTTATTATGAGACAAATGGTATCTCGAAAGGTAATTTGTATTATGCTCTGAGCACAATAGAGAATAGCTGGGGAGTCATGCTGCTCCACAGCACAGCATCAGAAGTAGCTGAAACTTTTTGTTTCTACTCCACAGGCTGCCATAAGAAAAGAATTAAATGAATTTAAAAGCTCAGAGATGGAGGTTCATGAAGAGAGCAAACATTTTACACGGTAAGAGCCAAAAGACCCAGAATTATGAGTTAAGTAGAGCTTCACTCCTAAAAATCAAAGTTGTTCAGATATGAAGGGCTCCAATAACATCTTTTAAAGGAGGACACATGGTGTTAATTACAAAAGACTACATTCAGAGAAAGGGATGTAAAGTAAGAGACAGTAGTAAATGCCTGATCTGAATGTGGCATTTTATGTATATTATCTTATTTAATCCTTGCAATAAACCTGCAAGATGTGTAAATGTCCTCTTCTTATCAGAGAGGAAATAGAGGATCAGAAGGATTAAGTTGCTTGACTACCTATTAAATTACAAAATCATTGCTTGGCACCTGTGGCTCAATTGGCTAAGGCACCAGCCACATACATCTAAGGTGGCGGGTTCAAATCCAGCCTGGGCCCGCCAAACAACAACGATGGCTGCAACCAAAAAAATAGCCGGGTGTTGTGGTGGGCGCCTGTGGTCCTAGCTACTTGGGAGGCTGAGGCAGGAGACTCTCTTGAGCCCAGGAGTTGGAGGTTGCTGTGAGCTGTGAAGCCACAGCACTCTACTCAGGGGGACAGCTTGAGGCTCTGTCTCAAAATAAATAAATAAATAAATAAATAAGAACCTAGGCTGGGTCCCTGTAGCTCAGCGGTTAAGGTGCCTGCCACGTGTTCTGGAGCTGGTGGGTTCAAACCCAGCCAAGGCCTGCTCCAAAAAAAAAAAAAAAATTTGGTGAGGCCAGCTGTGGCAGGCACATGTAGTCCCAGCTACTAGGAAGGCTGAGGCAAGAGAATTGCTTGAGCCCAAGAGTTGGAGGTTGCTGTGAGTGAGCTATAACGTCATGGCACTCTACTCAGGGTGACAGTGAGACTCTGTCTCAATTTAAAAAGAAAAAAAAAAAAAAAGAATAAGATCCTAGGCTGGGAGCAGTTGCTCACACCTGAATCTTAGCATTCTGGGAGGCCCAGGCAGGTGCATTGCTTGAGCGAACAGATTCAAGACCAGCCTGAGCAAGAGCAAGACCCCATCTCTAGTAAAAATAGAAAAACTAGCTCGGTGCCTGTTGCTCAGTGCTTGGGGCATTGGCCACATGCACCGGGGCTGGCAGTTTCGACCCTGGCCTGGGCCTGCTAAACAACACTGACAACTACAAAAAAAAAAAAAATAGTTGGAATTGTAGCAGATGCCTATAGTCCTAGCTACTTTGGAGGCTGAGACAAGAGAATCACTTAAGCCCAAGAGTTTGAGGTTGCTGTGAGCAGTGATGCCACAGCACTCTACTGAGGGTGACATAATAAGACTCTGTCTCAAATATATAAATAATAGAAAATCTGAGGCAAGCAGATCACTTGAACCCAAGAGATAGAGATTGCTGTGAGCTATGACGCTACAGTACTCTACCTAGTATGACAGCTTGAGACTCTGTCTCAGACAAAGAAAAAGAATGAGATCCTACAGATGGAATCAGTGAAAGTACCTTTGTATGACTCTCTTAGAACATTTATAAAAAGATACTAAGTGAAAGAATATATAATGATAATTACTGAGTTGGTTATAAAAAGAAGGAATAAGCAAAGATGGAAAATACAATGTTAAGTGTTTTTTCATCACCATATAGGCAAGTGGTTATTTTGATTACAGACTTTTTATACTGAACCTGATAGGAGTGGAGAAAGCAAATTCTTTCGACAGCAATAACTTGATTCAGAGCTCTGTAATGTGAACATATATCACCTACAAAATTTTCCTAGACTAATCTGGAAAAAGGCCTTTGTAGGCTTGGTGCCCATGGCACAGTTGGTGTGCAGGTTCGAATCCAGCCTGGGCCAGCTAAACAACAGTGACAAATGCAATAAAAAAAAATAACCAGGCATTGTGGTAGGCACCTGTAGTCCCAGCTACTTGGGAAGCTGAGGCAAAAGAATTGTTTAAACCCAGGAGTTTGAGGTTGCTGTGAGCTGTAATGCCACAGAAAGACTCTGTCTCAAAAAAAAAAAAAAAAAAGAAGAAGAAGAAGAAGGACAGTGCCTGTGGCTCATTGAGTAGGGCACTGAGGGTAGCAGGTTTGAACCCGGCCTCGGCCAAACTGCAACAAAAAAATAGCTGGG